CAGTTATTAATGTAGTGGTGTCACAAAATAAATTTTCGAAGGAAAATAGTACTGGCAGATGATCAGAACATGTAATAGTATAGACCGAAAGGTCTGCAATACAATGGAAAATGTTGTCCAATAACGTGGTCATCCAAGCAAAGACCTGGGGATGTAAGATCCATTCTGTTGCCACTATACTCCCTTGGCGGGAAAAGCTGTCTTCAAGGTTGGTGTGTTTCCCGGGAATATGTCTCGCTTCCATCCGACAACTGATGGAGTCAGCTCGTCCACGTCAGTCTGCTCGTGTCGGGACATGACGAAACGTGGAACACTGTGTTGTCAGCGAACCAATGCCAAATCCCTAGTGGACGTATAGGCGCACCCGTTCTGTATCGAGGAGCGGTCGTAGCAAGAATTCGACAATGTATCGCCTAGGACAGGTTGAATATATAAAACAATTCCTTCATCTGAAATCGTTTTCATCGCATAAGCGTTCCTGTTGTTATATCAGGTAACGATGGTGCGTGGTGTCTCGTTCACTGCGTGTGTAGGCATCGGACATCCACTGTATTTGTGAATCGGCTACATGATGTGTCTGATTACAGTGACAAACCACTTGATATAAGTACCGATGTCCATAGAATATCTGGATACCGAGGACGGATCCTTAATCCATGAAGCAGGTAACGTGACAGTATTATTAGGGTTGTGTACTAGCTTCATAAAGTCTTCGTCTAAACTTTGATAATCCGGAAGTGGAGCATCATGTGTGCTATACAACTTCTGCTTCAATGGAGGAAAGGGTAGTCGTTCATCATGTCCTAGCTTGAGTAGGCTTTCCGACATCTGGTCTACTATCTTGCCTGCATAACTCGGCCAAGGCAACGTCTGGTGGATGTGTTGAGATTATGTAGGATCATGACCTCACCCATATTCTGGCATCTTAGGTGGCGAATTTCTGTCACATGAGGTCGGAGTACAGGCATGAAGTGATATAACTCCTCGATGAGTTCCACAAAGTATATCCCTTCGTATAATTCCGATGGAGTGAGTCTTCAGCCTGATTAATCTCTTCAAAAACCTCCACTTCCGCTTCCGGGTGGCCATGGGTTTCGTGGATATTCGTAATATTCCGTACACTTCACGTGATCCTCTTTCGGTTCATCGTCCGCTGGTGTCCAGGATTCCGGCATTATTATTATTATCAACTTTATTCCTCCATAGGAAAGTTACATGCAATTCATTACGGTTATACAGATATTAACAAGAGAAATAACAAGATTAGGTTAAGAGTCAGGATATAGTGTCAAACACAGTTGGTGTATGTTCTGGATCACAGTTCTTGCAAACAGCTCATTGTCTTCTTCACTCGCTTGTACAGGAGGTGTGCATGACAACAGACTGCACACTAGGTCAACGTCACACATGGAGTTTAAGGTAACACTCAATTCAACTGGACAACAGTTGACAATATCACACCACATACGATCCCTGATGAATTCTGATGCTCTGCAGTGGCATATCATATGGACCAGAAGATCATTATAACCTTTGTCACAACGTTCGCAGTGACCATGTACTTTGCCTGGCCGCCAGAGTGCGCACATGTCCACAACAAATTTGCAGGAGTCTTTTAGTAAGGGCCAATGCTTAGCAACTTTCCATGCTTTGTGAGGTTTGATTTTGTTGTGTATTTTTGAAAAATGGTGTAGGTCCGGGTCTGTTTGTAGACGCTGTTGCCACTCCGATTCAGGATCTTCTTCGATTTGCTTCTTGACCTTTTTCTTCCAGAGTGATGGTTTGCAAAACTGCCCTGTGTCCATGAATGCTGTTAGATGCTCAAAAATGTTGTACTTCTGTAGAATCTGAACAATGTTTGGTACAAAGCCACGAGACCTTTTGGAACATCCATTTCTTAGCAGGAATAAGCGTGTGGTGAACAATGTTCTGCTCAGGTAGTGTGTTGGGTTATTACACAGTTGTCCCAGAAACAGCAACTTTTTAGCATCGATGTAAGATTCAATTGGATAGAATCCTATCAGAGTGTTACAGATATCTGTTCGCGTTGTTTAAGGTAGGCCTTGAACAAGTTTTACAGAGAATCTCTGAGCACGTTCTAATGCAATTAATTCCGTTTTCTTTAAAACTGACCAGAGCTCGCATCCATTTTTAACAATTTCGAACTTGTCAGTGGATTGAGGCCTTTACAGTCACAACCTAGTCGCTGAAGGGCCATGGTGCTTGCTTTCGATTTGGAACAGGCATTTATGGTTCTGTCCCAAGAATTCATATTGTGATCCAGTTCTATTCCAACATGTTTGGCACAAGGTACCTCGGGTATATCTTTGCTGTATAGTGAAAGATGACAAGGGCTCATTGATTTAGAACTTGAGAATGTCATTACACTACTTTTGGCTGCTGAGAATGAAAATCGCCATTCTGCACTATATGTTTCACATATCTGGATCATTTCTTGTAGGTATGATGTGATGGGACTAATGAGAGTAATATCGTCAGCCTGAGTTGGTGAGGCAACATGCAAATCCATGACCATAGCTCCTTTGTGAGATGATGACAGTTCACTAAGGAGAGCGTTGATATAGACCAAATACAGTTTGGCAGACAAAACACTGCCTTGTCTGACACCTCTGTCCAATTTGAACCAGTAAGATTTGGTATTGTTTACGGAGACACAACTCGTCATTCCACTGTACATGTTGTTAAACAGTTTCCATAATGCTTTGTTTATGCCAAGATGATGTAGTTTCCAGAGAAGTCCAGAGTGCCACACCGTGTCAAAGGCCTTAGCACTGTCTAAAAAGACCACTTTGACATTATCTTTTCTTTCTAGATAATGGTGTACAGTTTCCTGGATTAGAAAAGAAGCGTTGGAGGATGAAAGGCCCTTTTGAAATCCGCACTGCTGTGAGTCTGGAAATGACTTAGAGTTATAAATATCAGGTAGTCTTTTGCTAACTACAGTTTCAAATAACTTAAAGATAACAGTCAATAGAGTAACTCCTCGATAGGAGTCTGGTGACGTTTTTGGTTTTCCGGCACCTTTATCAATTGGAATAACAGTCCCACTTTTTCATGACTTTGGCATGTAACCAGATATTATGATTCTGTTCAACAGAATCGATAGGTAAAAGTATAACTGGTTTCCACCGTGCTTTAAATGTTCATATTGAAGCGCGTCAAGACCAGCAGCTTTATTTGTCTTTAATGACTGACATAGTATTCGGATTTCATTCGGCTTGATGGTCAGCAGGTTTACGGTGAAGTCCGTGTGGTAACCGTGCGGTGTCTTAACTGTCAGCTGAGTGGTCGCCTGGATGGTCGGCTGGGTTGCCATAGGATCCGTGCGGCGACCGTACGGTGTCTTAGCTGGGATGTCGGGCCTGGTGGTACCCTGCTTGGACCCAAACGAAGATTTAACTGATCGTGTCTCATGGTAGGGAAAAGCTTGCGAGCTAATACCCGGCTGGTCAGACAGCTGGCTGGCCCGGCTGTCTGGATGGTTGACTGGTCGGTACGGTCGGCTGTGGTAAGCACTACGGCCGCGTGTGTTGCAAAGACAAATGGCTGTGCCCCATGCGGTCTCTTGACCTGGGAACTCTTCTCAGCCAGAGCTGTCAGTCAATTCTTCATTAACTTCAACTTACTTCTTGGCTGCTTCACGCCTTTTAGTATTAGTTACACCCTCAGATAACTTTTTAGTAGGCTCTCGTAGATGTTGGCACACCGCTCGCACCTAGCCTCCTTTTTACATATGACCCCTCTGCACTTCCAGCAGGTATGATGAGGATCTGCTGTGATCATGAACGACCACACTTCTTACAGCCAGGAGTAAGGGGAGACTCCCATTACTACCTACAATGCACCTCACGCCAGCTTATACTCACGTGCGTACGATCTCACTCCGACTAGCAACTATTATTATTGACTTACTGTGTCTGTTTTTCTTAAACTATTAGAATAATCTTAGACTTGTGACCATGTGACTACTTCTAAGTGCTAGATCGTTTCAACTATAAAAAAGGTTTTGACTCGAGCACACACAGAAGAGAAGTGAGATTCCCGCCATTATGCACGTCATAGCTTGTGTTGCTATTGTGCTATGTGGGGAACAACAAATTGTGTGATTAACAGTGAAGAGGACGTCTGTTTAAAATCGGAAAGTTTTAGTCAGTGTGACTGAAGCCAAAATACAGGATTTATGGCAAAGATGTAATAGAGGTTGAAGTTCCGTAGGAACTACAATATTCAAAACTATTAATTTACTTTTTTTTTAAATACTTTAAATGCTAAAATATATTTGCTACTTTCAAATGATGTATCAAGGATCGTGTAGAAGATATATTGACAGTTGCGCGGGGATCCGGAGTTTATTTAACAGACCGGTATAAACAACATTAATTTTTCCCTTTTTACTGACACAGCTATAAATACAATCTGCCAAATGTAAACATACAGCGGCAGCACTTCCGGCAGCCATCACATGACATCCCTTCAAAGTAAAAAAATGTCAGATTATGCGTTCAAAGAGCGTGCAGTTTAAAGTAATGAAATTAGGAGTTCACAGACATGTCAGTTTTACAAGCAAATTCATGAAAAGGTTATGAATGTGGATGAGTATAGCTGCCTAAATCCTCATCACATTGTTGTAGGGCGAATAGTAATGACACTTACAAACACAAATATTCAGTGTGTAAAAATTATCTTTGTATTGATTCTTGCTTCAACAAACGAAAAGTAAACACATGTTACGGCAGTGTCATACCTATCTCGCAGAAGGTTTTCACAACTTGAATAACACCAAATGTATAATAAAACTACGTTTCCAAGAGACCAAGAAGGTATCCATATGCACGTTAGTCATGGTATTCAACAGGTTCTTAATTGTCAGCTAACAAATACATTGTGCAAAAGCTAACTGACAAACAGTGTGAATATCATAGTGACATTCCAGGTATTTGGGAGGCGTGTTTGGATAGGACTTTCTGAATATTACTTACCAATCATTACCAGTTTCTGACCACAGCCAGTGATGATTTGACCTCCTGAGTCTGGTGAGCCTATGTAACACTTGTAATGACCTTCGTCTTCCCAAGTTACATCAGAGAGCACGAATCTAAACAAACCAGTTCCCGATGATGACACGTTTCCAATGAATCTCACTCTAGATGTGAACTTGTCACTGGCAGCTCTGACATCATTATATCCTGTGATGTGAAGAAGGCATCTCTTTGTCTCACTGTTACACACACTGAACCCGCTGGTCCCAGGATCCGGGAGAATCCATGACAACGTGGCATAGCCACCGAACCTTGCACTGGAAACCTGAGCCACTGGAAAACAGAACATTTATGACATTTATGTAAATAAAGAAATGATAGACAACGTCTTATAAACGAAAGTCTCTTAGCCTAAACAGAAAATACTTTACTTCCAGCGTATTCAGGTACTTAATCTACAGAAGTTCTTCACTTGACCAACAGTAAAAAGGTACTTAACCTAAGCTAGATAGGCTTGAGAAATGTAGGTATTCAGAGATTCCAAGATAAAGGGGGAAAACAAACTACTTATCAAATACTGGTGATGTAGGCATCAAACTATAGGGCTGAACATTGGCTCCCCAAGGATAACATTAAAGATCTACAGCCATATATATACAATAAGTAACTAGATAATTATTCTACTGTGCATTTTCTTGTACAAACATGGGATATCAAATTAACACATGATAATAGCATAAGATAACAAATACTAAAGAATGAAATTTTCAGACAACAAATTATTTAGCGCCAACCTAACAAAACACAGAGTTAAAGAATACATAGATGATGGAACGTGATGTAGCCTTGCATGTCTATAAACGGGTATATCTATTATAAAGTATATCATTCATGGCGTTTTAGATCATCACAACGATCTGTGTCTTTTCTGTGCACTAGCCCAGTTACATGAATATTACTGTTTGTTACATACAAATACACTACTGCCTAGAAGTTCATTCCCCTTACACGCATGGGCAACGCGTTACGCAACCAGTGTGCATCGGGTTGGTCACTCGTGTGGAACCCGTCCGCCACGCGTGTGATACCCGTGTGCAACGCGTTGCACACGGGTGTGCACCCCGTTCGCCACTCGTGTGCAACGCGTGACACACTCATTAGAGGGGGAACAAACTTTTCACCAAAGGAGGACCCGTGTTAAGCTGAACCTGGAGGTGGTAACTTTTGTTATCCTGACGAAAAATGATAATACACATGTATTTGCTAATGTCTCCTATCTTTATGTGATTTTGTGGGAATAACATGAATACTGTTGTGATTAAATAGATCTGTCTTGTTTTATACGACCATTCCTTCTAAATCCGATGGTGTTAAGAGAATACATGGTCCTGGAACATGTTATTGCCATTGAAATGCTTTTATTGTGATTTGACATTAACCGTCTGTAGTACGACTTTCAGTGATAATATGTACGAGGTTTGGCGGCGCATTGTTTTTATTGGACCCTAATTACTTTGTGATGACTTGGACTCTTTATCCCAGCTCCATAGCCGTGAGGCTGGAAAAGAGCAGCATGTAATTAGTGAGGGCGGGTTATATCATTGAGGATACACTTGAGGGACAGAATACTAATTACCGTACTACAGGAAGAGACCTGTAGACGTAAGCGCGGGGTTGTGTTTTAGCTGGCCGTTCGATAATGGCCGCCAGGAGAAGTGAGCTTTCACTGCGTCATCTAAAATAAATAATAAGATACAGCAGTGTTATTTTCACGGGTCTGTTGAATAAACTCCCAGCGCTGCTGTCAATGTATCTTCTACTTGATCCTTGATACATGCTTTTAGCATTCACAATATATAGTATTTCAACGTACAAAGGAGCACTGATCTAAAGCAATTCCGCGGGAGTAGTTGTTGCCTGTGCATTACTGTATTTTCCCAGTGAGTACCCGGATGATATAGCAGAAATCTAGACTTGTTCGCGACCTGTGCTCGCCATTCGTAAGCGTATTTTTATTGATAGTAGGACGTATGGTCACATTGATCAACAAAAATGAAATACAGTTTTGGAAATGTAGGTATATTTGTGGGGAGCATCGGTAATGGTGATGAAGTTTTGATAAGTCACTTGCTTGGTAATTGTACGATCTCCGTGTACATTATTTTGACTTGCAACACAAAGTAAATATTTCATCTGAACATTGCTTATTTTACCGTGTGTATATGTTTACACTCAAAATGTAAACAGATTTCACTAAGAAAATTTATTAAACGCCTAAATATTCAGTTATTTCACAAATTAACTGAAAAATATGTCCATCTTTATTAATATGATAACGAATTCCAAATATTTGTATATGTTTAATATCATCACCAAGTACAGTTCTGTATTGTTTGGCTTCTTCTCTTAGCATAATTAATATATTGTGATGTGTTTAAGCTCTTCTGATCGTCTTTATCATTTTTAGTCAGTTGGTTAAATAAATGGACAGATTATTCAGTCAATTTGTAAAATGATTGAAATATTTAGATATTTAATAAATTGCCTGAGTGAATCATATTTTACACATTGACTGTAACATATACACGCTTACAAAAGAAAATACTTGTGAAAACAACGTCTATCACGCATCGAAAAACTTCCCAACCAAACGGAAAGGAACAAGAATGATTCTGTTCAAAGCTGCAGCGAATAAATGAAAACGAAATGCAAATATCATTATTACAACCTACCAAAGTTATAATTTATCTGGGAATATCAACATAAAGGAACAATATCCATTGCGTATGCAGCTGTACAAAAATACTTATTCGATGTCAAATGTCTCTGTGAGAATCAAATACTTTAATAATAAATATTTGGAAACAATATTTGGAATATATATATGAAATATATTAAAATATTTAAATATATCGTTTTTAAACGTTATTTAAATGTATCGGATATTATAACCCGTGTTCGTTTCTTAACTGATCACTTAGTTTGTTTCAGTTGTTTCACATAGGTGCCAAGTCAGCTGAGAAAGTCCACATGACAACTATATTTATAATGTCCACGGTTCTTAAAAACATCCATTGAGTTCGAAAACAATGAAACAACCAGTCAGTGTATTATTGGTTACCCTTTGAACAAAGTATGTTGTTTTTACATCTGTACTTCACGCCATGATATGAGTGTGTTCCCTAGGTTTAGTAAACCTACCTTCACATGTAAACACTTACTTTTGACATATCCACTGTGCAAGATAACAGTAATTAATCAATCAACGTATTTCCTGTTGATCCTTTGATGTCTCGGAATGATCCGTTGATTTACAAGTAAAGCAACTGATCATACATCTCTTGCTGGGCTGCCACGTGCATATTACATAACTCACAATCAACCTCACTTCAAACCTGGATTTAGATTGAATAATTACCCCAGGTACAAGAAAGACCAAATTGGAACCTTCATCGGGTAATCTGAGTGGTGCTACAACTAAGTATACATGTTATAAATTCATTAACTGAGCAGCAAATGAATTACGACAAAATTAATTACCATGCGCCCTTTGTCGAAATCTTCATAGATCACGGGTAACCAATCAGTTTTCAAAAATGCATAAGTTTATTTAGCTGTCCTTGCAGACTGGTAGCCCAGGCTCTTGTCACGCTCGGTTGCGTTAGCGAGCAAATTGACTCACGGCAGCTAGTAAGCCCAAGCGGAAATCCAAAGGTCGTATTCCCTGAAGAATCAACCTTCACTTGAGAAATATCTACTGCTCTCAAAATCAATATTTCTCCCAATACTAAAAGTCAGAACTTCTAACCAAGGATTACCAGTTGAAACTGGTCGATGGCTAAACCTTTACCAGGGAAGATAGCCAGTGTCCACTCTGTGATTCTATCGCTGTGGGAGATGAATTGCATTATTTATGCCGATGTGAAGCTTTTCACCAACGGCGATATGAACTCTTAAATAAGCAATATCTTAAGTTTCCAAACATTTGAGAAAATTATGACCACTAACAGTGTAAGAGATCTAAAAGGCCTATCTAAATTCCTTAACAATGTGTACAATACAATTGGTAAATTGTATTAGTATCCACGTATCCTATTTTTATTATTTTTGTTAAATTCTACATAATAAAAATTGTAGATAATTGTATGTCATGTTTTTCTAAGAATATATGAGATTGAGTCCGACACCCGAGAAGAAGCCAGAGATTTGAATAGTTTACAATCATGTGTTTTAGGATTAGCTGTGTTGGCTTAAATGTATTTTTATTTCAAAAGAAATCTGGATCGGTAAACAAGCAAAACTTGCTTATGTAAATACTTCTCCAGGTGACAACTTAACAACAGCTGGATATATATAAGAGAGTGCTGAACATAAACATACAAAATGCACAAATGAAATACACAAAGCCAATACACTGAAGCAAGTGGTGTCTGTGAAATAAGGTAAAGCAGTTTTCCTTTACTACATGCATAAACTTAAGCTACTCAAACCTTTTGCTTTTGACAATGATGTCGTGAACTGATTTAAGAAGAGTCGTGTTTGTAGAACTGCTTAACTACTGCAATGTTGTATCATTTTTAGATCATACCCATGTGTGTACAAATACACAGTGTTTCTGATATTATCGTATTTTTGGACAGGTATAGAAAAAGTGAATTGCATCTTCAAGGTGATATCCAAAAGTGCAGTCTGGTATGTCTGATACATGTCGTCTAAACTTATCAACGTTTAAGTCACTGCAGCCGAGCCTAAGGCGACAGAGGACAATTTGGTATGATCTATGAAAATATTTGAAGTCAAAATTATTAATAATTGCATCAGAACGATTAATTAAGGATTTGATTTCTTTTAATGAGCGAGTATTAGTTACTTCATCGGATAGAGGGTTCCGCAGGTTGATCATATCCAGAAGAAATGATTAAGCATAGGTCTGTGTTCTGCATTTGATTGTTTGTATGTTGAATCTATTTCTAAGGTTATATTTGCTGTTATCAGAGAATTGAATATACACTTTTCAAATATTTTGGCTAAGCAACTTGTGAGTGCTACAGGTCTAAAAATTTGAGCATTCATGTTCATCGCTGACACTGACACCGCATCAGCCCGGCAGTGGACTTGACACAGTTATTCTTATACACTTCTAGCCACACACACTCGCCAGCCGACGCCGTGCCTTCCCACGCTTGACCCCCCACCCCCACCCCCACCCCCACACCACCCAGGCCCAAACCTTTCCATATTATTGAATATTCTTTTATCACCCACTCCCACCCAGCCAAACCCCACCCCCCTTAACTTTATTAGAATAGGCTGTAAACTTATATTTTTGGGGG